TGTTTTCCATTTCGTTTGGAATTTTGGAACTAGGTTCATCTTACTCTTCAGAAGTGAAAACAATTTATTAAAGTAATTTTACTTTTTTCAAAATAACGTTGGGTATCGATAAAAGAACTAATTATAAGAGAAAAATGTTTAATAATGTTTTTCAAAAAAGTAATTACTTTTCAAGTTACTGGCTACTGAAAATTTGTTTCTTTTTTGCGTTTTTCATCATTTTTTGCTAATATCTTCAAAAATATACATTTTAACGAAAATCATGTAATGTACAAAATTATATCAATTAAAATCTTAATAAATCGCTATTTTATAGTGTTTTAGGAACATTATTAGGCAAGATATGAAAATGTGTTTTTATAGTGCTCAAAATAAGCTTTAAAATGAGTACTTCTGCGTGTATAATGTGTAAACCATCATGCAAAGACGCATATAATGTTTTTTTTTATTTAAATCAAATAGTTTTTCAGTGCCATTTCCACCAAATTTAAAAATAATCGTATTCCATTTCGAATTAACTTGGTTTAAGTGATCTTGATGGATTCTAGAATATACCACAACTTTAGTACAAACGATTTTCAAAAAACTCATGATTTCATGAAAAAAAAAACATTAAAAAAAAACATCCAATTTCTCATTATAATATCTCTGAAAGAATACGTATAAAAGTATATATATATGAAAATTCGAGGTATTTTTCTGACTAATTATTGTTGTTTATTATTTTTCCGTTACACAAATATTGATAGAAGTATTAATTAAGGAGTGCGCGGCTGTCCAACCAGAGGTCTTTCCAGCCCTTTAACCCTTCGCCGTTTCACAATGAGAGAAGTTACGGTAAAATTTATGATAGAGAAAGTTGTAGCTCATTTAATCACCTTTAAAATAGTGTATTACAAGTTCTGATAAAATCAGAATTAAAAGAGTAATAATCCAATTAATGCGGTGGATGGTGACGGAGTGCAAATTGTTTTCACTTCTGAACTTAAGATAAAGATTAGCCTATTTCCAAAATATCAAGTAAATTGGAGCACAGTAAAAAAATTCACAGAGCAATAATTTTGTTGATCGTAAGTTGAATAGAGCATATGTGAACAGGATTTGACAAATTAATTCACTTCAAATATAAACTTAAGCAATAATGTACATTAATTTATTGGAGAAAAAAATGTAATTTAGATATTGCAATTACTAAAAGCCAGTTAAAATACGGTACGAAATTATAAAAATTATAGGCAACATTATTGAATCAATTATTTTGGGTATAAAAATAAAAGGTGATATTGCACCTTTGCCGCGATTGCTATATATTAATTCTTTCTGAATTTGTTGTACTTTTCAAAAGATTTCAATTTTCAACACGTGTATCTTATGCTATGACCATAAATCACAAAGGCAGACGATCATTTTTAGTGTGATAAATTTGGAAAATCAATGTTTTAGTCGTGAATAAACAAAAAATCATTCATTTATACATCCACATCTACAGGTATGACTAAAAATACTATATAACCCTTAAATGCAATAAAATATATTGAGCTATTGGAAATAAATTTGTTCTATAAATCGCAGTGTATAATTTTTAATATACAATTTTATTGAACATTTTTAATATTTGTTAAATGAATAATTAAAGTGTTAACTGTGGGAATTGAGAACAATCATTTTATTTGAAACAGTTCTACATTCAACATCACTCATATATTGGTGTAAATAGTAATTCAAAAGCAGTAATATTGAAAAATTGTTGACGTGGGTACAGAACAACGTCTGTCGGGTCAGCTAGTATATATATATATATATATATGTATATATACTTATACATATATATATATATATATATATATATATATATATACTTATACATATATATAGTTTTGTTAATTGTAAGATTACTAATTTAAAATGTCATTTGATAAAAAAAAATTCTCGCGTCTGAAAGTTCTAAATGCTCTTCTGAACTTCTGCACAGAGACCTCATGTTTGGGTAGTGTCGATCATCTAAAAATTTAAGATGATCGAAGTACCAGAGTTTTGGCTTGTAGACGTTTTGTGCGCTACAGCCCGAGCGCATAGAAGCTTTTATCTAGAATAACATACTGTTAGATTAACACAGTCCAAATCATCTAAACTAACAATTAATTTTGATAATATTTTCCTTATATTGTGAAGTTTTTAATATTATTAAATACCTTGTTAACCTTCTGTTAAAAACGCTCCTAATGCTTTTAATTTTTTTAGCCACTGTGGCTATAGTTGCATCTGGATTAATTTCTTTAAATGCCGGCAGCATTGAATTTAACGCATTATTGCGCATTTGTCTATTATGATATGCCACGTCACTTATTGACCACAAACAAGTTTGGGTTTTGAACATTTCTATAAATTTCACTATGAAATTTTCTGAATCCATATCTATAAATCCATCAAAATTATTATCAATAATTGTTCAGAATGTGCTAATTATAACTGAATATATAACTAAAAACTAATACGTACCTATATTTTCCTATTCAGATTTCTAACTAATAGAACTTTCTCACAGGATTATAATAGTCAAACTAAAATAATTTTAAGCAATGCTTTCTATATATTTATATATACGATTTTATATTTTTCCTTCAAAAATGAATATAATATTGAATTTGTTTAAAAAGTTGTCCATTTTTAATTGCACCTCAAAAAATAGCCAAGAAGAAAAGTAGCACAGATAAAAAGGGAATGACATTCGAGCAACGCAAACACAGGAATGCTGAGCTGATGCGTGAAAAACAAAGAAAAAAAGAGCAAGAAGATGCCGCAGCCTCTGGTAACAGTTAATTCAACAAAACACAAATATTTTCGAGAAGAATGCCTGTGAAAAAAAAGAACTAACTAACTTACTACACGACTAACATTATTATGAAATAACAAATTACATATATCAAGTTATTGAACCCCATAAGGCTTCGGAATTTCAATGAAAGGTTTTATTTTCAAATTTTTTATTGAACATTTGGGCACGCAGTTGGTTGCCTTCCTTAGCAAATGCTCTGCAACTTTTCTTTAAATCTTACTTTCAAATCAAATCTTAATTCAAGAGTTTATCTGATCATGGATTTATTTATATCTTATATATAAAAATGGAGCTCTCTTTCAAATGTCTGAATAAAACTCGAAAACGGCTGAATCGATTTGGCCAGGGTTAGTCTTGAAAAATACGTGCCAATCCAGAGAAAGTCCAAAAGGTTAGAAATTATTTCAAATCCGCGTAGAAACTTTACATTTTTAATTTGAAAATTTTTGTTGAAGCGTAATGTAAATAAAACAATGGACGGTGGCAATTTCGTGAAATGTCAAACGCTTTTGACAGATGATGTTTAATAGGATGTTTAATTACGTTTAATAGGATGTTTTAGGCGAATATTATTTAATTATGATAAATTTGTAGTAAGTAGTTTTGTTTGTAGTTTTATTTATATACAAAAACGTTAGTAAACTAGCTGCAAGTGTTACTAGAGACTCAAAATATCAACTTTTTTGATATGTTAATATGAAAATGCACTTTTTGGCATATTTTTTTCAAACACGGTGCTCTGAAAGATCTCATTTGTATAATTACATACTCATTGGTATTGATAAAATAATTTCTAGGTTATATTATTTTTTATTTATGTTATTTAAATTCAGAACCTAAATTTGGTATCGATCAAATGAACATTTTGTCGAATAACATTTTTCCAGTTATAATTTCCCAGAATTTATTGCAGAATAGATAGTAATATATGAAGGTCCGGGATTAAAAAGGTCCACCACCGATGTGCCAAAAATCAGTAAAGTTAAGCATTGTTTAACAACAATATTTGAAAGTAGAGAAAAAAAGATGTATAGCCAGCTACAACCTTGATTTGAGAACGATAATCTTTGAATTGGGGGAGATAAACGGTAATCTTTGAAAATCCATAATAAAAGTATTTTCTTCCGTTGGTAGTTTTAGCATTAGTTAAAAATGTAATTATTTTGTAAAATACCTTTAAAATTGAAATAAGGCTTTAAACCTTTTGCCACCTGCCCGTTACAAGTTACCCTTCATATAGGATAAAAAGGTCTAGGTAACAAATTTTTGAAAGACGTCAAAAAAGCACATTTCTACAATGATGAAGTAGAAGTCAGTTTACTGAACGTAGTCAGATAATTGTTCGTTTGATATGTGTTATTTGTTGTGATATAATTGTTATGGTTTTCACAATATAGTTTATATTTGCTCAAAGTCAAATTGGACCTTTGTGACTCACCCTGCTCTACATATATACTTTTTATTAAATTTACTTTAATTCATCGAATGTAGTTTGAAACTTTTCAAAAAGCAGGTCAAAGAAGAAATACTTAATTCTATCTCTCCTCGCAAAAATTTGAAAATTTTGTATAAGCTCAGTAGTATTATTTACAATTATACACAAATCCAGAATCCAAAAAGAGTCTGAAAAACTTGAAACGTAATCAATATGTCGAAAGATCAAAAAAGACTTAGATTGGATTATACGATGTTTTCTATAGAAAGTGTATAAAACTTGCAGTTGGATTGTATTGACAAAATATAGACAAACTAATGGGGTTTATTGTTTTTATAATACCTCATTATATATAGCATTCAAACAACACATCCTTATGCACTTAAAGTATTAAAATTTTTGATTCTCTAGAAATGGTTTAGAATATACCTTATTTAGCAAAACAACGTTTGCCGGGTCAGCTAGTTTATTTATATTTATATTTATTATATATATTTTTTATATTTATATTTATATTTTGGGATTGAAACTAGATCTTCTCGTTTACTGTTAACAAAGGTAAAGCACAAGATTTTTCACATTGAATTAAACATCTCTCACAGTACATAGAAAAAAGTTTGATTATATGTTAAAACTTGACAAATCTGTTGAGGATCGTTCGATCCGAGGCTAAAGTTTGGCATATGGGTTAAAAATGGATCGTATTTATTTTTTTCTCAATGAAATAAATCATCTGAAATTATGGATATTCAATGAATTATAAATGCAATTAAGGTTAAAATAATATTTATTTTCACGAAAGATAAAAAAAACTAAGCATTTCACCGACATATGTTATATAATATATTTAATATAATTGAAAATTTAACTTACAATTACAAGTATACAATAAACCTAACCTAACAAAATAATACAATAAAAACCTAACTAAATAATTCAATAAACCTAATTAACTTTAAAAACCTGTCTTCTGTCCTTCTCTTTATTCCTAGTGTACCTGCTCTGTGCATGACGAACCATTCTCTGATGTAATCACCCACTCGAGCATGCGACACTCGAATATCATTATAAATAGTTTCGGCTACAATCTCTGAAATTATTATTGGTTTAAAAAAACTAATACAAATATTTCATTAATACAAATGAATTAATAAGTTAAAATCAGGCCTTTATATTATATAATGATTTATTTATTATATTTAATGAAAATTTATGAATATTATTTTATTTTAAAGCATTCCATACTTTCGTTTTAGAATTTCCAATTTTGCTTCTTCAATTTGTATAATTTGTAACTTCAATCTGTACATCATTTGTTTCCAGTATGCAGATTATTTTCATATTGTGGCTATTGCCATATATTTCATCAAGCTCTTCTGCATATTAGCGTTCCTATTGCGTCCTATTAGACATAATTGTTAATATGTATAAAATTATTTTATATATTTACATCATTATTCGTATCAGTAGCCTGACTGTTAACATATTTTTTATAATTTCGTTGAAGTACTCTCCAACGATTTTCAATATTGCCTTCAGTAAATGTAATGCCAAATTCAATATTCATGTCATTTTTTCATCAAACAGAATCTGATTCTTTTGGCACTGGCCTCGGATGCAAGTGTATTACGTATAATATTTTATTTATTAATCACTTTTTATCTTTTAATCTTTTTATTAAAAAAAGAAATTACTGACAGTTAGTGGTTGTCTATAATTATTAATTTTTACAAGTTATATTAATATGTGTTAGTGATAATATAAACAATTCAAAACCACTAAAGATGACGTAGAATTTTACGTCGAAACGTATGGAAAAATAAAGATGTTTTGAAAAAAAGATCTTTACTTTATTTTTTATTTACTTGATGTTACGCCCTCCAAGAAATCAATCATACATTTCAACATCAAATTTAAACATTTTCAACATATATATATATCTTATATATAAAAATGGAGCTGTCTTTCAAATGTCCGAATAAAACTCGAAAACGGCTGAATGGATTTGGCCAGTCTTAGTCTTGAAAAATTCGTGCCAATCCAGAGATTGCCCAAATGGTGAGAAATTATTTCAAGTCCGCGTAGAAACTTTACATTTTTAATTTGAAATTTTTTGTTGAAGCGTAATTGAAATAAAACAATGGACGGTGTCTAATATATGAAATGTCAAACGTTTTTGACAGATGATGTTCGATTATGTTTAATAGGATGTTTTACGTGAATATTATTTAATTATGATTGAATTGTAGCAAGTAGTTTTGTTTGTAGTTTTATTTACATACAAAAACGTTAGTAAACGGGCCGCAAGTGTTACTAGAAACTCAAAATATCAACTTTTTTGAAATGTTAATATGAAAATGCACTTTTTGGCATATTTTTCTCAAACACGATGCTCTGAAAGATCTCATTTGTATAATTATATACTTATTGGTATTTATAAAACATTTTCTAGGTTATATTATTTTTTATTTGTGTTATTTAAATTCAGAACCTAAATTTGGTATCGATCAAATGGACATTTTGTTGAATAACATTTTTCCAGTTATAATTTCCCAGAATTTATCGCAGAATAGATAGTAATATATGAAGGTCCGGGATTAAAAAGGTCCACCACCGATGTCAAAAATCAGTAAAGTTAAGCATTGTGCATCATTAACAACAATATTTGAAAGTAGAGGAAAAAAGATGTACAGCCAGCTACAACCTTGATTTGAAAACGATAATCTTTGAAATGGGGGAGATGAACGGTAATCTTTGAAAATCCATAATAAAAGTATTTTCTTCCGTTGGTAGTTTTAGCATTAGTTAAAAATGTAATTATTTTGTAAAATAACTTTGAAATTATAATAAGGCTTTAAACCTTTTGCTACCTGCCCGTTACAAGTTACGCCGCATATAGAATAAAAAGGTCTAGATAACAAATTTTTGAAAGACATAAAAAAACACATTTCTACAATGATGAAGTAGATGTCAGTTTACTGAACGTAGTCAGATAATTGTTCGTTTGATATGTGTTATTTGCTGTGATATAATTGTTATGGTTTTCACAATATAGTTTATATTTGCTCAAAGTCAAATTGGACCTTTGTGTCTCGCCCTGCTCTACATATATACTTTTTAACTTAAATTGTAGTTTTACTGATTATGAACGTGATCATCGAATGTAACTTGAAACTTTTCAAAAAGCAGGTCAAAGAAGAAATACTTAATTCATTTTTTATCTCTCCTCACAAAAATTTGAAAATTTTGTATAAGCTCAGTAGTATTATTTACAATTATACACAAAATCCAGAATCCAAAAAGAATCTGAAAAACTTGGATTATACGATGTTTTCTATAAAAAGTGTATAAAACTTGCAGTTTGATTGTATTGACAATATATAGACCTAATTGTATACAGCATTCAAACAACACATCCTTATGCACTTAAAGTATTAATATTTTTGATTTTCTAGAAATGGTTTAGAATATACCTTATTTAGCGAAACAACGTTTGCCGGGTCAGCTAGTATATATATATATATATATATATATATATATATATATATATATATTGTTAAGAACTATTATGTATTTATTATAATATTTTATGTTTAACACGTTTTCATTAAAATATGTTTGTAATTTAAACTTGTATGTTGGTACCATTTATATAAAACTTTTATAAATCGACCCTTATCCGACAATAAGGGCCGAATCAGGTAAAAACTGATTATTATTGAGCGCGAGTTAGTTATGTTTGAACCGCCAACAAGTACAAATTAAAAATATCAACACCCAATAATGTAAGTTACAAAAAAAAAAATCAATAAATCTTAAAAAGTGTTTGTTTTTATATATCAAGAAGAGAACAAATAATTAATATCTCTTCATTTGGTGGCAGCTAATTATGATACCTACTCCGAAATCTATAATAAAATAATAAAAAAATGGATGTGTGAAAACAAACTTCTACTAGTGAATTCAAATTAAGTGTTAATATATCAAAATTGTGGTGATAAAATTGGCGCGTTTCTAAATAATAAACGAGATAATAATTAATTATTCTACAAATATCAATCAATAACTAATAACTGTAATAAATAAAAACCAAAACTATGATAAAATAGTACTCCAGTATAAAATACTACAATAATAAAACAAATCATCAAATAAAACTAAAACGTGTTAAAACCGAGTAATTAAGTGCATTACCGAACTTTTATCAATATTATCTATGAGAAATTAAACCAAAACTTGAAAAGTGATTCATCCACGCTATTTTGAGACGCGGAACGAGCAGTGGTAATTTTCCAAGAAGGCGATTCTATTGTGTATATTTGAGCCTAGCCGATAACCTGGACAAGGATCTATACCTAAGCAAGGGCAAGGGACCATTCAATCACAAGATGGAGAATACAATCGGTAATGGTAATGAAAATAAATTAGATTTAAATTTAGCTCTAGCTGTTATTCCGAATTTTGATGAAAATGAAACCAATGCCCGTGCATTTATTGATGCATGTGACTCGTTACATGTAAATTTGTTACCGGAGGAAACACATAAATTATTTTTAATGGTAAAAAGAAAGTTACAAAGTAAAGTACTAGTTAAAGTTATCCGTAATAAAATTGCAAATTATTCAGTATTAAAAACACATTTATGTAAAGAATATTATGACCAAACTTCTGTTTCCACTTTATATTCCAAACTATGTTAAACAATTTTCAAATGAATCTGTTAAATCTTTTGGCGATAGAATTTTAGATATAGTTGATAAAATGTTTAACAAAGACTGCGATTCTCAAGGGCAAGAAATATCGGAAAGATTACGAATTGTATATATGGAGACGGCTCTTAGAAGTTTTGTCGATCGTATCAAAATTCCATTAAAAAATTTAATTAAATCATGTAGATTCAATGGCTTAAATCAATGGTTCCCAACCTTTTCAGTGTCACTACCCCTGAACAAGTATGAGAGTGGAGTTTACCCCTAGCCAATTTAAAATAAATAAAACCACACAAAATCGATGAAAATATGTTTATTATCTAATTCTTAACTATTTCTAAGAAATTGCATGTTTAGGTAACTAGTAATATAAAGTTATATGTAAATCTTAGAGTACTAGTGCGAAGGTTGAAATTGCTTTGCATTCACAAGTTTCACAATATTAGGTTCAGTTTCACTCAACGAGCATCTCATATCATGCTCAATGTTCATACGATTTCTGGCTTTTGTTTTTATTGTAAGAAGAGTTGAGAAATAACTTTTAATAAGTTATTTTCACGCAGCCCGAGAAACTCTACTTTTGCTGACACATCTTCGTCTTTGAATATATCGACGCAAGTAGAAAATGGTCTTAAAATCCAGGAGTAGCACTCACGAATGTCCATGTCGGGAAAATATTGCTGCAGTGAGTCTATCACGGCAGTTAAGTGTTACACCACAGAATTTTCAAATGTGATTTTGTCTCGTTTATTATTTAGTGATTGTTCGCTTAGTTGTGTAAACATTGACACATCACCAGTTTGAACTCTGCGTTGGTAAAATTCCAATTTGCGTAAAAAACTTGCAATTTTATCCTGCAGCATCAAAATATTTGTTTCATTTCCTTGCAGTGAAATATTCAGATTATTAATTTCAGTGAAAAAATCAGCAAGGTACCCCATTTTTATAACAAATATATGGTCTTTAATTTTGTCATAATATTCTTTTTCTTTTTGAGTTCTCTGGTTTTCAAAAAACAATCCAATTTCTTCTCGTAATTCATAGACCCTACTTAGAACTTTGCCTCTTGATAACCAACGTACCTCTATATGGTACAAAAGTGCATTAAATGCAGCACCAACTTCATCACACAAAACTTTAAATAATCTTGAGTTAGTAGCGCTGCCTCGAATACGATTAACAATTTTTACTATATCACTCAACGTGTTTAGCAAATCTGGTGGTAGTGTTTTTACAGCCAAAGCGTAACGGTGTATCAAACAATGATAGTTGAAAACTTGAGGAGCAACTTGTTTCACAAGAGACTGAAAACCAGAACGGACGCCCATCATGGCAAGTGCCTCGTCTGTACAAATACCAACCAGCTTTAACCAGTCCAGGCCATTTTTCTCAATAAACTCTTTTAGAGTCTGAAATACGTCTTCGCCGCGAGTAGTAGTGGGCAAAGACTTGCAGAACAAATATTCCTCCTTCACATCATCATTTTTAATGTATCGTGTAAACATTAATAATTGTGAACACGAAGCAACATCTGTGGACTCGTCCAACTGCAGTGCAAACATAGGACTTTCCTTTATTTTAGCAATAACGGTTGCTAGAATATCGGCACTCATTTCACATATGCGTCTTTGAATGGCATTGTTTGATAGTGGTATTTGGTTAATCTTAGCTATATGTTGCTCACCTATAACAAGTGTTACCGCATCTAATATGCAAGGTTTGATGAGGTCCTCTCCTATAGTGTGTGGTTTTTTATTACGTGCGATACGATACACAATTTTGTATGAAGCTTGAAGGCATGATTCATTTGCTTTCTGTATGTTGCCTGTAGAATCCATGCGCGAAAACTTTAGAATCTTCTCCTTTTTCTTAAAAAAATCTATATTTTTATCTGCAAACTTTAGCAAAATGTTCTTTTAAATCGTTCGGTTTCATGCTTTTGGCGCTTTTTGCCAAATGGAATAGAAGCCATGTCAAAAACACCTGTAGGTACCTAAAACAAAAGTTAACTAATACATACCAACAAAAACAAGTCACTCGTGACAATATAAACGTGACGAACGTGACGATATTAACAAACACTACTTACCTTTGAATTTAAACAATACGATTTCTGCAATGCGCGGTGGAACAAATAAAATGCGTTATTTAATAAACTTAAATAACTCAACACAATTTTCATACATTTACTACCGATACTTCGTTAAATAAAACTATTTGGTTATGTGTCCTTCTTGACGTCCAGCCGGAAATTTAGAGTCGTAGAAATGAATAGAGTGAAACTCGAATGTGAACTCCATAGAGAAATATAGTTGGCACATAGAGGCATAAATGTGTCGCTATATAGATGAGGGTGGGAGAAAGAAAAAGGGATTGTATTGTCTGTTCTGACAGAAACGTCACCATTCTTTATAAAATGATCAAAAATAAATTAATATTATAAATGTATATCCTTCAATGACCACAAATTTTTATCAAACATACACAATAAAATCAAGTTTACAGCCGGTACAGTAAGTGTTAATGTTTATTATAAAAAAATATGTTGAATATAATGGCATTAGATAGTTGGTGTTTCTATACTGAGCTCTAAAGTTATACTAAATAAAAATTATTAAAAATTAATATTAACAATATTAGCCCCGCCCGTAAGGCGGGTTACATTAATTTATGAATCTGAGGGGAATGATTTCTTAGACTTAGTTCAAGTCATTTTGCAGACACATAAAAAGCTATCGACGCGGATGTAGACGGTCCTGACACATAAATTAAGCCCAAAAATTAAAATATCTTATATTACTAATGCGTTTGTACATGAAAGTGTGAAAGACATGCAGACGACGGTCCACGTGGCCTGGCGACTGTCCATCGTATCGGAATACGAGACGATACGACACCCTTACAAAAAAAAAAAAAAAACAGTTTAGGTTACCTCCATTGGAATCCTTAACAGCTATTATAGCTACCGGCTAAACTAACTGGGATGGATCATTCGTTTTATTAACGTTTGACCGGAGCTAGTCGCAAAATATTGCGCAGTGTGCAAAAGCAGCGTGCCCATTCACCGGTGAATGTGCACTAGAGATGGGTAACTCACTCCGATACAACTCCTCCCTCGGAGTGAATCCGAGTGGAATCGTCTCACCGGATTTGTCATATCCGACTTTCCCAAACTAGTACTAAATCTGTTACCGCGTTTTTGCTTTTACACAATTATATAATTGTGTAAAAGTAATAATATGCTAATGGAACTACCCGATATAATATTAATTCTCGAATGGAAATAGCAGAAGAAAAAATTAGAAAGCAAAAGTATTATTATTTGGTGAAAATATTTTAGGATAAATGTTTTGCTTTTATTACAAAGTTTACTACAATATTTTTATATACAATTAATCCAAAAAATCAATTATTTTCTCATCAAAAGAAAATAATTAAATTAAATTCGATTCTCAAGTTTTACGTTTGGTCAGCACTGTTAAAATTACGAGCCATTGAGTCGATCATGTGGTCGACCGAAAAATTTTACAACTCGTCATTTTTTGTGAATTATTTTATTGATAATTTTTAATTTCATTTTATTCATAAATTTCATTTAAAAAAATTAAATGGGATTTGACAAATCCTTAGGTGCATTAACAACGCACAATAGAACACATTTGTGCCGACTATTTCAGTTTTAAAGTGGTCGGAGTCCTGGACTAAGGACTCCGACTGTTAAGCGGGTATAACTCCTCCCTGAAGCGGAGTCAAATCCGAATTGATCCGGCTTCGGATATGATAAGGCCATCTTTAATGTGCACATACACCAAGAGTGCACATTTACCGTAACATATATAATAAGTTATTTTAAAATTGAGTACCCTCATCAATCATATTTTCCCTTTGTGTTGAAATCATTGTATTATTATCTAATTCTATTTTTTCTGCCACACAGTATGAATGACCTTCTTCTTTGCCATTTCACAATGTGTTTTGGCAACATTTTTATTTGAGTCTTCGGTTTCGATTCTGCATATAATCAAAATAATCGCAAGAACCTCGGCAGCTTGCTCTTCATTTTCACTTGATATCAACCAATAAACATTTTTTGTACAATTTGGCTATACATGAACGAAGGGATTTTAAAATAATTGTGTATAACTTAATAAACCGTGCTACATCAATGCGTTTATAGCATGATGGTAAATTTTTAGCAAATAAATAGTCGGCATATTCTACAATTGTATTGTAATTGGTGAATGCCCTCACGCAAGTTGACAAACGTGCTTGCGACTGATCACAGACAATTTCCTTCGGAATAGAAAACTCCAGATCGC